TTAGTTTGATGAGCTTTTTCTGGGTTTTTATAGAAGTTGCAGTTGCAAGTTGCATATCAAATTGCACATCAAAGTTTGCAACTATAAAGGTTACAATTGCAGTTTATACCTATAAAGGCTGCAGTTGCAATTTGTACCTATAAAAGTTGCAGTTGCAATTTGTACCTATAAAGGTTGCAGTTGCAGTTTGCACCAATAAAGGTTACTAATTGCAGTTTGCATATCAAATTTCGTGATAAAATGATCGGAAACGATGTTCATACATTTTCAATTATAATTTTTGGCAAAAAGTATCCTTTTTGTAATTTATTGAAATTCTTCAAATTATATAATAAAATTTGAAATTTTGAAATTTTTAACTTTATTTTAACAATTGGATAGAAATTTAGATGTATATATATACATATATATGTGTGTGTGTGTGTGCGTGTGGTGTGTGTGTAGGTGTGTGTGCACACATGTTGTGTGTGTGTTGTGTTGAGTTGTGGGCCAAGATGTTGTAATACCGCAGTAGACATGGGTGTCTAAAGTGACGTAACCACACCGATTATCAAACAACTGACACAATCTCATCGAGTAACTTCAAATAAGCCACACCGATCAACTAAATACTTTCCGGAAACAAATAACATTTTATCAATCATGATTGTATTACACAAGCAATAACAGTTGGTTGCCATTCCGGTTTCATCGTTGTATTCCGGTTTCATCGTTTCATTTAGTATCAAATTCCAAATGATATTATTGATATGAGCTAATAAATAGCATGTTTAAGCTTAATTTTATTTCATATGATAGCATTTTATATTTTTGATTAAAATAAAATGATGTAAATAGTCTGAAATTATCAATACTGATGTTACGAATCCGGTAAACAATTTACTATCATATTTTATCATTAATGAAATCGTCATAATATTATCATTATCATTAATAATTTTTATCACTCATTATCATTACAAAATCAAAATTTACAAAATTTTATGGCAAAAAAAAAAACAATCAATGAATCATGAATAAAGGAAGAAATTCTTCTGACACTGTTTAATTTCTTAAAAAAAAAAAACCCTTAACCTTAATCGCTTTTCAATTCTTTTACATTATATGATAATCATCTGTTATCAGTTGTATGCTTATCTTTAATTATGAATAAGTACAGGAAAGAGAGATAAACAGGAATAAAAGATTAAGTGGAATTGATCAAAATTAAGTAATGATAATCAAAAATGATAAACTTATATCATCAAGTCTTTTTTCTTTTTAAAAAAAAAAATCATCTCACAAGTTCAAAGAAAAAGGAAATCATTACTATAAAAATCATTAAATGATAACATACATGTCAATATCTGATCTGATCCCATCGTTATTAAATTGCAACAACTTATCTAATCTGATTTCTAAACTGTTCTACATCTGATAATGAATTACTGATAAACATCTCTTCATTTAAACAATCAAGATAATAAGTATTGATTGGATTCAAATGAAATGAAATCAAACTTCATTTAACATATAATTATCACATAATGCTTATAATATTCAAATTTAAAATTTTAAAAATTTTCACAACGTAAGATATATCCATTTAATATATGATAGCTAACAAAAGGATATAAACCTCAAGAATCTTTTGTGTGAATTTCCTTTTCATCTTTCAAATCCCATCAATCCCATATGTTCATCGCTTTTCACATCTCATTCGGACAGTTTGTTAGATGTGAAACACAAAGAATCATTATTCATTATTCATCAATATAATCATCATCATCATCGTTATCATCATTATCATCATCATCATCATCATCATCATCATCATCATCATCATCATCATCATCATCATCATCATCATCATCATCATCATC